TTTTTTTTTTTTAACAAGGGGATGTGTTTGCCTGTTAATTGCCTAATAAAAATTAATAACAGGAAAGCTTGGCTAGGTTTCAGCCTTTTTATGATCTCTCCCAGTTTCCCCAAAGCCATCCAGGCAAATGCAGGAGTGAAGAACCGCGGTGGGTTATGCTTCCTGGGAGATGCCCGACCCACTGCCTTTTAGATGGCTGCTGCTCTCCGGTCCAGCACCCTCTTTGGGACAAAGGCCTGGACACCAGAGAGTGGCTTCTTTAGTCCACCTTGTGTTCTAGATGAGGAAAATGAATATGACCAGGTCGATTTTAGACCTGACCCAGGCATTGAAGGGGTTGCTGGCTGGCCTGAGAGGGGTTGTATAGTAAACAGGTACGACAGGTAAAGTCGAATGTAGATAGGATGTGTATTCTTTGTTTAAGGGTCAATCAGACCATGTCTTGCTAATGGCTCTGCCATTTTTCTGTGTTAATCCAGGAGGAATTTTGTTGTCAGACACTAAAAGGAGGTTGTCCGTAATTGACTTTAAGCGGCCAACAGTAAAATATTAAGTCTAGCCGTCAGCTTCACTGAGCTCTTCAGCTCCACCTTTCTTGTAAGTGAATCATTTATTCCAAGTGGTCATGAAAACATTTAAAATTATGGAGTAACGTATTTCCCTAAATTTAGAACTCTGAAATAGAAGAGAACTTTCTGTTATCTAACCTAAAACATACCATTGTGCTGAAAACGAATTTTCTTCAGCTCGTCATTTGCTTAAAAAAAAAAAATTAAATCCAGTGATTCCTCATGACATGTGGCTGCTTTTTTTCTCTCCAGCAAACGTTTTATTATTATTTATTTAAAAGCATTTATCTTACATTTTATTATTATTTTTCTTAATGCATTCTGTACCCTTCTAGGCTCTGAGAATTGAAAAACCCAGAAGGTTTTGATGTTTTGTGTGACATCTTCTGAATTAGAAACCAAGATGAACATAACCAAAGGAGGCCTGGTGTTGTTCTCAGCAAATTCAAACTCGTCGTGCATGGAGCTTTCAAAGAAAATTGCCGAGTGAGTTACGATCACCACTAGTCTGTGTCCCATCCGTCATGTTTCGAATTTGATCATCAGGTTAGCACTGGCGGTTCGACTGGAAGGCAGTCATTTAATCCTGAATCTGTGTATCAGCTGTGTAGATCGAGCACTACCTCCTTGTTCAGCGTAACCACTTCCTACGTGTTCACGCAGTAGACATTGATTGGGCGCCAAGGTGTGCCAGGGATTGCGTTCAGTGCTACGTCTGCATGGAGTTTTTAGTATGAAAAGAATGCAAGGTGTGTGCTCGATGAAAATAGTTAGTAGTTTATCATTCGGTATAGTTTCCGATATTTATGAAGTATTTATTGGCTCCCTGCTGTGAGACGTAGAGGTTGGGGCTCAGCAGGGAGTGACCCTTCCTCCGGGTGGAGCTTATACAGCAATAGGGAAGCCAGACCACAAGCAAGAGAACCTGACTCTTTCCAAGGGTGATAAGTGCTTTGAGGAAAATCGTGTGAAACAATGACGGACGGGCAGGCTGTTCTACTTTCGTCTTTGCAAATGAGGGCTGGCATTTTTTGGATGGGGATGGTCTTTGAAGTGGGAAATCTGAGTGAGCCACCACTGGGAGCAGAGCCCTTTAGGCAGCAGACACAGCAGGTTCAAAGGCCCTGTGGTCTGCAGGCAGTGGTGGGTCTTAGGAACAGCAAGTGGGCTGCGTGTAGAGAGGACCAAAAAGATGGTCACTGAGGTGGGCAGAGGAAGATGACTCAGGGACTTTTGGGTAGACTTGATGTGAGGAGAACAGATGAAGTAATGGAGTGACATACGTTTCACGTGGACATTTTATGTTATTGTAAGAATTCCTTGTTTTTAAAAATCAATGTATGAGTCATCCTTAAATGCTAAAGATACTAGTTCTGTTCTATTACCTTTTCAGTGTTTCCCTCCTTTTTCTTCTCCAGGCGGCTGGGGGTGGAGATGGGCAAAGTGCAGGTTTACCAGGAACCTAACAGAGGTGAGCTATCTTGGACTTGCATCACGTGGGTCTTTTGATGAAAGACAGCAGCCACACAGGCTCTGATCTTCATCACCCACTGTTGAAGTGGGGTCTGTGTGCACTGCATGAATGTGGGACTCAGTTGTCCATGGTCACTGGGAAGCTGGGTAAGGTGGATGGGAGAGGTGGTATTTTAGCTCTCACTAGA